TAGGCCAAAATATAAACTTTACTATGATTTGTGTGCTCTTATAAATGCCATTTACATAATTAAGGAAGCAAAACTTCCAGGATTTTTTGACATATTAACTATTTGTATATATTAACTATAAGTATATAGATACTAATGCTTGTAATATTCATCCCAAAATAAAAAGGGTTTTTGGTTTTTGACATTTTTCCAATACAAAAAATTAGTGAATGCTGCCTTGTCATTAATGTATATTGACATGTAGAGCTAAAACAGTTTATATCTACTACCCTGGTAACACAGCCTTACGCACTGACAGTGCATAAGTACGATACTCGGTCTGCTCCCAAAATCTTACGTAATTGTGCAGCATGGCAAGTGCGTCAGACACTTACACAAGAAGTGCACAAATTTTGCGTGCATTATTTGGTCTACAGGGCCATTGCGTAAGACGTTTTACACACGTTTGAATAAATAAGTTAAAGATATACTTCACAAATATTTCTATTTAGTAATTTAGCAAAGTATTTTTATTTTTGTTCCATTAATTTTAGTTTTTGTCTAACAGCCATACTGAACTTTTCTTCAACGAATCGTACAACTCTACTGGTCATAATGTTTGCAAAATAATGCATGCTTTTCGTACTGCTGGCCTATTTTATTTCTTTTAACTCGTGAATTCAACTCTTTTGATAAAAGTGTCTTATGAGTGAGGGTGCGAGAGAGAGGGAGAGATCCAATTTTAAAGCAATGAATTTTCCCTGTGTAGATAAACTGTTGTGAATATTAGTTAGTAACTTTCTGCAAAGCTACCTAATAAATTAATAATACATTACATTACAAATGACGAAAACTGATCATTCCTTCCGGCGGAGTAATTGACAGTTTGCCAGGTATGATGATAACCTGTCGTCCCGAGTAATGTATACTATTTTTCTTCCTGCTCGGTCGAAAATTGGTTGCCAAATCGTAACCATAAGTCAAAAACATGAAAAGAACGTGTAGTTAGCTTCGCAGCCGAATTCATATTTTTACGTTTGTCCCTCCAGGCTGACTGATACCTACTAGTCTATACTACTATTTTCATAGCAGCATGTATGATCGTTTGTCGTATCAAGTGTGATTATAGTATTGGCGCTGCAAAAGTAGACGAGCAGCTGATGAAAGCTGATAGGCAGGGAAAGAAAAATTATTTTCTATGACGATGCAGTATCATGTGTGTTTATGCTTCTGTTATGTTGAGGTCGCGTATGATGTAATGAGCTTACTGACAAGGGCGAAGGGTTGTTAGCATCCTCTAACATTTACAACCCGAGCGAACGAGGGTTATTTGTTAGCGGATTATGAAAAGCCATCAGCAAAAAAATATGGAAAAATTGTGTCAAGAACTGTGTTATACAAAAATAACTTTATTCTATCCTGCACACAACCATTTTTTTCTGCAGCAATATAGTAATTAAGTTTACTAATCTTACTTATAATCTACTTCAGTTTTATTGAATAAATAAAAAATTATTAGTTTTAAAGAGCCCATTAACATCTTTCACAAAAACTAAAACTTTAGTATTGACATTATTTAGGAATCATTTGAATCATTAGTTGTTAATGTTTCCATTAATAGTACAATTTTTCAAATTTAACATGACAATCTGTGTTATGAATTGTTTACATGCAGTTGTTTTCATTTTCATTTATCAAAGGATTAGCAGTTGATTCTCTGATTTTGCATTTTTTATTTGCTGGAATTGCTGAAGCAAATTTAAGTTTGGCAGGCGATTTTTTAGTAAAAAGTGTGCAATGAGTATTGTTTTCATTTTTGCTGCTTGATAAAACTGGTGGCAGTTGCTTCCCATTTCCAGTTATAAAATTTATTGATGTACTCTGAGGGACAAAACGTTTTGGTCTTCAAGTTGATACACAGGGACATCAGAAAAATCTTCATATCTCAAATTTAATTGAGATACGTTTTTAATTTCATTCTCATGAATAAGTGACGAATTTTCTTTGCTCGTTGATGGTCTGTCCAACAAATTATCCGAATCGTTAGCCCTGTCTTGCAAGGGGGCACTTTTATCACCTAGCATTTATAATATACGCTTTACATTTACGTTTATATTATTCTATTTATTATATTTTCTTGTAATAAAAAATCCGTCCAATAGACAATTCAAGGGTTCACATTTTTTTTTATATACATATATTTCATTTTATAAAAAATTCCTATTTGAAAATTCAAATTTGAACGCCGCGCGCCGGGAATGTGCGTATAGTACGTCAAGGAAGGGCTAGAGCGCATTTACCTAAAGAGAAAACCTGCTACTCAAAAGGAAACAACATTAGCATAAAAGGCACCAGCGCGCAGAGCACAGAGAGTTCTCTTCCTGCGAACCTGGGACGCAGAGATCCGCGGTCACCCAGACCTGGAACTCTCGTGCACCGGTACATTACCGCGACGAGCACAAAGTGAGAGAAGGAGACTGAGTACGAAGGCCAAGAGCTGAAAAGTAAGTTTGCACACCACCTATAGGTAACCCTTCCACTAACCGGTTCCTACTTGGACTTTCGGTGCTTGACCGCTTTAAGCGTAAAGACGACGCATCCCCAAGTAGTCAAGGCACTAGGGTGAGCGATCACGTTCTTAGGCGAAGTTCCTGCGTCGACGACTTGAGCAGTGCTCAAGACACCCAAGGGCCCTGAGACCGACCTAACCCTACGTGACTTGGTAGGATAGGTAGTTACCTAACATTAACCTTCCGTGGTTTTACTAAAAATTCGTGCTAGTCTAACCTAAGGTGTCTAAGCGGAGGTATTAAGGAGGGAAAATTCAAATTGTCATTTGTGTAAAATTTTCTATTAAACAAAGGCGGATAAATTTTAAGTAAATTCTAAATTATCGAGTGTATTATATATTTTTTTTTTCCATTATTAACGTAAATAACCGCAATTACTCAAATATAATTAATACATGTAGAAATTGAAGATACAATTTCCTTAGAATCATATGATTGAATAAATATAAGATAATAGAAAATATACTGATTGTACTTGTTTAAGAAAACCTTCCCCTCCACGTATATTGCGAGTTTTATATAGTTTAAGATAAAAACTAGAATAATAGCGATTAACATATTTATGAAATTGTTTATATGAAATAAGAATATTGTCTGTACCCAAAAAAGGGCAAGAATAAATTAAAAAAGATATTAGATTTAGAAAGAAATTGAATAAGTTAAAAAAGACATTAAATCAATTAACTTTAGGGAATATTCAGGGAACGATGAGAATTCAATAAAGTAATAATCAAAATACAATTGCTGTATATTGTGCAGGAATTAATTGATTATTTAACAGATAAATTTTGAAACTTGATAACAATTATTTTTAAATATTGTATATAATCTGCAATCTGAGCAACTTCGCTCTTTTACAGAGGGTAACGAACCCGCCCTCTGACATATAAACTCTAACATTGCTTGTGTATTGGTTCCTGATCTTAGAGTTTCCTCGGTACAGATAATATTCTTAAGCCGATTGTTACCACCACCAATTAACCGGGGTTATTCTCAAAGAAAGGGAAGTCGTAGTCTTCATGGGTAATGTCTTCCAAAAATTAAATCCTTGCTGCTCATGGAGTCAACTATGTACCCAGCAGCTACTTTATTTAATTGCGAGCCTCCTAATTGTTTAATAATCATTATATCAGCACCTGAGTTTGACAGCAGTGTAGCAGAGGTCCTAGAAAAGCAATGGCCAGTGTAACTTAATGGACTTCCTAGTCCTAGAAAAGTAGCAATTACTGAAAGTGTTGAACCCATTTTATTCTTCCTCATAACTTGACGATTACATTTGCCATTGTACTAGACAAAAAATGTATCTGTAAAATTATCTGGAGGCCTTAATGAGACATACTTTTTGAATAAAACAGTGGTCCAAAAATGAAACTTCTGTCAATATAATCCTGGACTGATTCTAAAAATTTGTTATTTAAATTTTTAACATAGTATTTCATTCGAGTACACTCAATACATCTCAATGCACCGCAAATACCAAAGACAAGTAAAATCTGGAAAATTTATAAGAATCAAAAATGTGTTTTGAGGTTAAAACACAAAAAAAATACCTTTGCCCCTAAAAAGATATGGTCATCTGCATTGTCCAGAAGTTCCATAACATTTTTCCAATTAAGTGGAAGCGATTGTTTTGGTTTGTGCCCTTTGGAGTTGTTTTTTAGTATGGCTTTTAAGTTGATATATTTATTAAAATTAATATTATGATTTATGTTAAGCATCTTTTTTAACATAGACCAAACACTCCATAAAGTTTTTGGACTCACTGTTTCCTGCAAATCCTTGAAATAGCAAATCCAGACACTTTCTTTCAAAGACTTTGCTTGGTTAAAATCTTTCCATTTCATAAACGTTTCATAAACTAATTTGTAACGATTAATAGATTTGATGGGTATTATTTCTTGATGTATAACTATCTGCACCTCCTTATCAAAATTACGAATCATCTCTTCATCACTGCCTCTACTGAATGAACAGTCGATAAACACTTTGAATAATATCTTGCATAAATAAATACAACTATTCAAAGCTGTCGAGAACTTTTTTTTCAAAAAATTAGATTAGAAGTTCACGGGATACATAGGTACACAAGCGTAGTCGATAGGGTAGGGAGAGCTGCTGAGACTATTTTCCTCCCGCTTGGTTGGGTGGCGCGCAGCTATGGAGGGAAAATCGACTTTCGATGGAGATACGCAGGAAGGACAGTCGAATTTTCGACCAGAATAAGAAGAAAAAACTTTTATGTACATATTATTAAGCGTCTCTTATAAGATAGTACGTAAAAACTAAAAATTTGTTTTCATCATTTATTGTTCCCAAAGCTCCCTGGGATCTTGAAACTTAACAGTGAGTATGTACGTACCTGAGTTTACCTGAAGTAAATCTTCTATAAAAATCTTATTGGTTGATATATATAACAGTACTACTATAAGCTTATTTAGGTACTTCTAGGTCTTAAAGCTAAATATCTAAGTATATTTACATAATTTTTTGCTCATAATTACAGATTTTCCTAATCGTACAGCTTTAAAAACCGAAAACTAGACTAGTTAATTTTTTTGCTTAGACATTTTAAGTAGTAAGGGAAAGTGAAGATCAGGGCAGTAGTCACGATTTGTTTTGAGAAGTTTAATATGCCGAGACCAAATTTCACTATCATATCGCTTTATCTGATGAGCAACAAAGCCACGTTGTATTGCTGCTTTGATGAAGTGGTGGAAAGTTTCACCTCGATATGGTGCCATTACTAGGGCGACTCCATCGTCAGTCAAATAGCCATAAATCGTGTCAACAAGGTCAAGTCTGACATCATCGAAAAACAGACAATCTGCGCAGATAATTACTTCGTATGACTCCTCCTGTAATAAAAAATTATAAAATCATATAGTTTTATACTTTCTTGTTTTATGGTGCAAGGAGACAAAGGTGCGTTCTTATACATTCTCTAATTATACTGTGCACATCTACGTAGGTGTTGCAGATAACAAATAAATTATACCATTAACATTTTTTTTATATAAAACAGTAAATAAAAATGTTAAAGGAATAAATTTATTATAAAATAGTTGTGCTTACTACTTAAAAAACTAAACTTTATTAGAAGGCAATTAAAATCATTTTGTATTAAAAAAGAGTTCATAAAAATGAAGTCTAAGTAAAAACATATAAGAAAATTAAATAAGAATTCGTTAAAAGTTTTTTAAATACTAATAGTATTCTTAATAAATTATTTCAAAAATTCAGAAATAAATCATTATTAATTAATTTATTATGTATTCGTAAACTCATCAGGTTATGTCCACGACGAAAAAATCCTAAAGTGTTCTTCAAGAGTTTTTTTAACTGTTTTAGTGTTGCTAAATTGCAGCTAGTTAATCATTTTTCCCTTTAAAACTGAGTATGTGGCAAAAAAGTAAAAATTAACTGAAGGGTTTTGGGTGAGAAAAATAAGAAGACGACTTTATAGATTTAATTTTACAAAATGATTTATTAAACTGGCTTCGCAAAAACTAACTGACGACTGACTATGACTGACTTGATTGTATGCACAGACTTTACAAAGTACAAAGGAGAGCTAAATGTTGCGTGTGCACTTGACTATGGTCAAATCAGAACTGGCTCACACCTGGCTGGCGCTGTACGTGCCTCTCCTCTAACACATACACACATACGCTCGCGCAGACGCGCATGCCTACAGCCTATCGATACAGTCGTGCACTTTAACACTCCCTCCCGACTTGAAATAGCTAAAGAGTTATAAAAATACAAAAATAGATGTGAATTTAAGCCACACAGTATTAATATTTTATTATCGATTTTCATGGCGCTCATAACAAGGGTCGAGCAGGCCAGGGATCATGGTCGTCCGATGAGAACCTTCCTTCTTGTCTGAAACAGAATGTATCACATTAATTATTTATTTTAATTACAGACTTCATTAAAGATATGATTTCTGAATTTTTCGTGGAGCTCGAAAGGCAAGGATTTCGTAAAAATGTCTGCCGTCTGTTCTTTGGTACTCAACCACCTTACATTTACTCTGCCATAAGTCACATATTCTTTGACATAATGTTCGTGAATTTCTGTCTCAATTTCCTGCTTCCACTTATTTTTGAATTTAATTCCGCTGCCTTATTATCGCACCATAGGTCAGCTGGAAAAAAGGTTTTGTTAAGTATGATTTTGAGACAATTGTCTACTGCCATTAATTCTCTACATGCTTCACTTAGTGCCTCGTATTCGGCCTGACATGTTGACAATGCTACGTATGTCTGCTTGTGAGTTCTCCAGGCCACAGAGTCTCCGAAGAGTTTGATGACATACCCACTCGTAGTCAGAGAGCCCTTGCAGTCACCAAAACTGGCATCCGAAAAGGCTTCTAAGTTGTCCTGCCTTCCTAAGAACTTTAGCCCAAAAGATTTAGTGCCTGCCAAGTACCGGAACACTCTTTTTACCATGTTCCAATCTTCGTCAGTTGGATTTATCTTATGTCGACTGAGTACATTTACAGGATCGCTAATGTTTGGACGTACAGTGTTAGACACGTATAATAGACGGCCCACAGCCTCTCGGTAGGGAACATTTTCTGTCGATTTTGTCTCCTTTAAATCGTCCAGCCTTTCAGATTGTTCTCTTTGTTTCCTTTGTTGATTCAGCACATGTCCAGTGACCATGGGAGTTTTTACAGGTTTTGAATTTTCAAATCCAAATTTAACCAGAATTTTATTTATATAACCAGTCTGAGTCAAGGTTAGGACCTGCCTCTCCCTGTCTTTTCTGACTTCGGTATCTAGAAAAGCTTCTACTTCACCAAGATCTGTCATCTCATATTCGCTTAGCAGACTTTTTTTAACAAACTTTAACCGATTTGGATCATTACTTGCAATAATCATATCATCAACGTATAGAACTAAAATTAGAATTTTGTCTGCCTCGTGCCAAGTAAACAGGCATGGTTCTAAAATATGTGACTTCAAACCTATTTTAATAGCTGCTTCTAAAAATCTTTCATGCCATTTTTTAGGACTGAACTTTAGCCCGTACAAGGCTCTTTGCAGCTTGCAAACTTTATTCTGACGTTCTTGATCTGTGCAGTTCAATCCTTCTGGTATCTCCATATATATTTAATTATCAAGAGTACTATTCAAGAAAGCTGTTTTTACGTCTAGCTGGCATGTATTCAGATTTAGTTTATTTACCAGAGCTAGAACCGTTCTGATCAAGGTCAGTCTCGACACCAGCGTATAAGTTTCTGTCAAATCGTATTCATTTTTGTCTCATAATCCTCGAAGTACCAGCCGTGCCTTGTATTTTTCCTGCCCTTGAGAGTCGATCTTATTCTTAAGGACCCAGTGGGAGTCAAATATATTTGGGCGTCTGCCGTTTATAAGCCCCACGGGTCTGTCTGTAAGAATCCATACATCAATTTTCGCCATTGAATCAAGCATATCTTGTATCGCTCGAATCTAGCCTTCCTAATCTGCTACCTTTATTGCTTCTTTGTAAGAAGATGGGTCTTTATTTCAGCCAGAAGCAGGTAGTGAGTAAGATCTTCTGCAGACGTATCTTTATCTGCCATATCTGTAGCATATTTTTTAAAGGATAGATTTTTTATGACATCATCAGCAATAGCCAAACCCGTAAAACTCACATCTCTAACTGGATTTTTACACTTTCGGTTCGTATCTGCCATGTTTGCTTCTAACGCTGTTGACTTTTTCGGTCTTCCTGTTTTTTGTACGACTGGAGGCTCTTCCTCCGATGTTGTCATCTCTTCCCTCTCTTTCTCGAAGATCAAACACCACTCATCTAGTTTTATATCTACTGTAACGTTCTCCCAGTTTTTAATCGAACCTTTGCCATATACGTCTCCATTTACAAAACGCTCGTTAAATCTGACGTCCCTGCTCTCATAGATTGTTCCTTCGCCAATACAAAGTAGCCGATACTCTGTAAGTGTGTAACCCACCATAAATGCTCTCTTCCCTTTGGCCTGGAATTTTGTGTCTGTATTTCTCTGAACTCTCATATAAGAGACACAACCAAATCTTTTCATCTGACTTAAATCTATCCTTTTGATTGGCACAAGCTTCGCCAAAGGGATTTCCATATTATTTGAACGATGTGGAGAGCGATTGTACGCAAAAACTGCTGCGTTCAAGGCCAAGTCTCACATATTCTCTAGGAGTCCCGAATCATACATAAGAGCTCTGACTTTCATTTGAATGGTTTTATTCAGCCTTTTGGGAGTGCCGTTCAACTTAAGGGTATCCAGACAGCTCAACCGGAGTTCCGTTTCAAGACTATCTAACACGTTTCGAGTGGATCCTTCCGTAAATTCTGTACCCTGGTCTGACCTTAGGTCACCCACTTTAGTATCATTTCCTAACAAATTTTTACACCCTTTGAGGAAGTTTTCTAAGCATTCACCCGTATCACTTTTGTTTTTCATCGGGTACGCCATGGCTGATCTTGAGAAGTCGTCAATAAATACAGAGATAAATCTGTACCATTTCGAAAAAGATGACGGACTTATTACTCCCATTGTGTCTGAATGGATGATCTGAAGTGGTCTGGCTGCTTTTTCTTGCACGGAGGGCAATTTTTGAGACTTTGTTCTCAGACACACGTCACACATCCTTATTGTATCACTAAAGACAGCCTCCTTCAGACTTTTAATATCCGGGTATGTTTTTTGCAATTCTCTGAGATATTCTAGTAACGCATGTCCCTACCGGACATGCCACAGCATAGCCCCGTTATTGTCTTTAAATATTTCATATTTTTCAGAGAATGGACTCTGCACCTCGTTTATTAAGTTAGTCTCGGCTGTCCCGACATCATAAGACTTTCTACCTTGTATCAGAAACGCGTCGTCATAGGAACCATCATCTAGATGTACCCTTCTGAACAAGCTGTTCGAGTTATTTGTTAAGTTCATGCTTTCCGGAGTTAAATTGTCAGGACTAGTTTGTGCTTCTGACTCTGCCGTTAGTATTTTTATTCTTTTACCACTTTCAGTTTGTCTTTGATCCGGCTTTTTAATGTTTTCTGACTTCATAAATTCGACTGTCCAGTACGGTTTTTGATATATTCCTGATATCCAGACTTTTTCTGTTTCAGGGTCGAAGATGCTAATCTCTTTATTATTCTTATCTAAATAGATGGACAGACCCATGTCAGCAAATTTACGTTAAGACAGTAAATTCCCGATTAAGTCCCGAGCACAAACTACTCCGTTCAACTCAACCTCGTTGTTACTATTTCCAAGTACCATACTTCCCACTCCCTCTGTTCTCAAATCTGCAGATGAGTCTGAATTTGCACATTTAATTTTTTTTGTTTCAAGATTTTCTAATAATTTTTCCGACTTAGTAGAATGATCGGTCACTCCCGAATCGGCGATGGACTTTATTTTATCAGTCCCGTCTGATTCTAAATTATTTACCCAATCTGCAGAGTTCGAAAACAGAGTTTTGAGAGGCTCGATCAACGTCAGAGACTCACCTTTATTTGAACCCGACGCGTTTTATTTTCCGTTAGTATTTTGGTCCTGGTCAGAAAGTTTCTGTCTTTTAAAGTCTCTTTCATCTCTGACGTTGCTAGAGTCTCTTTTCTGCCAAAAAAAACGGGAATTTAAGCGGCCCCGGCCGCAGCCACGGCCAACCCGATGTCCTTGGCTTCCTCGACCCTGCCTTTTAAAATCCCATGAATCTGACTTAAATTGCTCACCACATCTTGGGCTGCACTTCTTGTGGGCTGGTATTTCGTTTACGAAAGTGCCACAGGTGTAGCACTTTTTGAGCCCGGTTCCAGCCTTCGGGCATTGGTCGGCCATATGATCCCAGTCATCACAGTT